TTAAACTTTTTAGAACAAATAAAGCATCAGTGTTATAAGGATAGAATCCAAACTGGCATGAAAAAGGCATTTAAAAAATAGCACCATGCTAGTGAAAAATATAAACATGCTGCGAACAGTATACGTTACAAGATGATCAAGAAAAAGCTGACAAAAGCATACTATTGTTAGGGAAAGTTTTTTAAGGAAGATATGGCTGTTAAATTTGAAACGCTACTTACAGCTAACTCAATATTCAACCCATTACAATCATCGGTCCAAAAATCATTCTCAAACAATCTCCTGTTATCTGCCCCTTATGTTTTCCATAAAGAAGATTTTCCCCCTCAAAATCAAATAATTCTTAGTTATCATCAACTGTGTCAGTTTAACTTATATTATTTAAAGGGGTAGAAATGTGGAAATTTCCATATTTACATGACAATAAGATTTCAAATGGTGTGTTCTGTAGTTATTGATGTCAAACTCTCAAAGTTTGGATTAAGGCGACTTCTTTAAATGCTTAGATCAGAGAAACACATGTTCTGGAACTCTTAACCATTCTTATAAACCAAGCATTGGTTTACAGTAAGGGCCAAGTTATGCATCATTGCTGCTTTGAAGGTTTATGTAGGTGTTTTACTTTTAGCTTTGTTTCTTTCAGAAACATGTTGTTTATTTATTTATTTTTTTGCATTTTGAGAAACTAAACCCTTTATCAACAAGTTGTTTTTTTCTGTTCTCTAAATTAGGCTCTGTTCTGGAGAAGGTCAGCTGTTTATTACCGGTACCTGTGCTGGACACTTTTTCCCTGTCTGGGGTTATGATGTGGCTCAATGCCCACTCACTTGCAATGAAAAACAATTGACACAAATGTTTATAATAGCCTGAGATAAACATATAAAAGGCATTTAAAACTTCAACTACTGCTGTTTATTTATTTATTAGTTTATTTATTAAAAGACGCGAACATAATAATAAACCATTGCCTTTAAAGAATTCTTTGCTTTTTCAATCTTTGTGAGACAATAGCAAACGTAGGCAGGTTGTAGTTGTCATCATTACAACTTCTTGTATCAGTTTTGTTGAATCAGACAGAAGCTTTAGGAAATTTGTCAAATAAAATTTTGTTGCAGGTCAACATACTTAATTTTTTTGTTGATAGATTATTCACTAAACACATCCATCTACCCCTTTCTACCCTGATCACTGGTTTCTATACCCTGCACTAGTTTATTTATGTTCTTCTTTTATAGCTAAACTCAACTTCAGAAAAAGTTTTAACTTCAGTTTTTTTTATCGTTGTGACAGTTTATTTGCATTTTTTCTTTTATTTCTTGCTTAAAATAAATAAAATGTATTCACTCTTTCCATCACACTTTAAAACTGTAGCTCCAAATTACATTTCAAGGCAATACAAAAAAAAAAAAAAAAAAATGTTTTCAATTATAGCCCTATTATACTCACTTCCCAGTTTTTTCAATGTATATATATATATATATATATATATATATATATATATATATATATATATATATATATATATATCCATCCATCCATCCATTTTCTAGCACGCTCATCCCGAGTGGGATATAGCCATATTGTTTCAATATGGCTATATCCCATATATATATATATATATACTTAAAAAAAACATTATATATATATATATATATATATATATATATATATATATATATATATATATATATATATATATATATATATATATATATATATATATATATATATATATATATATATATATATATATATATATATATATATATATAATGTTTTTTTTAAGTCCCTGAATTTCTTTGTGTGCCTCTGCTGGAGCTCTGAGTATATCTTAATGATGACAGTGAAAGCTGCTGACACTGCATCCACAGACACAACGATGGGGGAAACAGTTGGAGAAAAAATAAGCAATAAGATGATAGGTACAAACTTAACAGCTTAATTCTGTGGTCACTTGTGTCTTTGACAAATATTAAGTGCAACACAGTTGCTGAAGTGCAGATCATACAGAGTTATGAATAAGCTTTACTGTTTTTGCCAATGTTTATAAGATTTATTCTTTGAATCTTTCTGTGACCTGCTTTTTAGCACCATGGTACTAGTTACAAAGAAACCTGTTAAATATTTAATAGACATATATAGTATCTTAGAACACCTAAATGAGTTCTTAATCCTTACTATTAGTGTAAAGTTGGAATTTAAAGCTATTTTTCCAAACTTCTGCTAAATCCACACCTTATATTTCAGGATAAAAAAAGCTACAAAGATAAAAAATCTTGAGCAACATTAAAACAAAAAAAAAAAAAGAATCTGCAACATAAAAATAAATTAATGTCTGGGAATATGTGCTTAATATTCTTTGAATCTTGCTAACAAATGAATGTGGAGAAGATGTCAAAGGAATCAACCATTTTTAGAGGCATGGTAAATTGTAAAAGAATTTTTAAAACTTGTTTTGATAAATTTATTCTAACAAATCTAAAATTAAACTTTAATTTTACCTGAATATGACAGTTTTGAAAAGGAAACAATATCTTCAAGCTACTATCTACTGCTTTACCTTGTTGTATTTATACCAAACTGAATGTAATGTTAAAGGAACATGACCCTCTTTAGGGCAGGAAGCTGTGTAACTGTTTATGTTTTGTAAATGAACCGCTCTAACCTTGTAGTTTCAATCAACCCAAAGCTGTTGATGTGAGCTCACTGATTTAATTGGCAGCAAATAAAAGCCTTGATGAGCAATGAAAGGTTGCTTGGCTACTGATTTGCAATGTGGCTTTCAAGGACACAATTACATGTTGAATTTCAGGTTAAAAGAGGGGAGACAGGACTCATAAATAAAGCCAGATGAGTTTTGAGAGAAGATAAGAGGGATAGATAATCACAGTCCATCTCTTCCTCCTCTTCCTACCATGGAGACTATTATGCATCTGCCTTTCAAGGTGGCTGAGGGGCTTTTGTTTTCTTATAATAATTTATTTTGGTAATAACCAAATGTGTGGGACAGAGAGGTTAATGGTCATATGGATGTTTGGGTGTTATGGGTGGATTTAGCTGCCACCTTCTGGTGCCAAATATTGCTGCAACCTTTATTTGGACCAAAAATAAATAAATACTGAAAAACAACATTATGTTGTATTATGTTCTAATTTAGAAGACTTGCATGTGTCTGTTATAATAAAGCACAGTTTTTCACAGGTAAAAGCGAATTACAAAGCGCTTATTTTGAGTCATTTTATTACACTTGGGCTATATAGGCACAATTGATTATTCCTTCATGATAAATGTTTGAAGATTTCTCTTCCATCTTATTTGCTTATAGGGTGAGTAGAGACAAGCCAATGACAGTAGCCTACATGAAAGTTTAAATTATAAAAAGTATAGAAAAGAGAAGATACATATACTGTTTCTAGGCAGAAGTTTCGGTTACTTCAGAGGAACAGTGACATTATAAGTCACTTCAGTATTTAATTTGCTTTTGATTGAGAAATGATCACTTTTGGAAATGTCTAATATTCAATATAATCATTTGGGGGAAGTGAAGGCATGTTCCACATCTCCAAAAAATCAGAAGTTAAGACGTCATATTCCAAATATCATTGTCTTAAATAGTGTTGCGCCAATGCCATTTTTTGGCCCCTAAACGATACCCGATACCTGGGTGTGCAGTATTGGCCGATACCGTACCGATACCTGATACCTGGCTGTGTAGTATTGGTCCATACCATACCGATACCCGCTACCTGGCTGTGCAGTATTGGCCGATACAATACCGATACCTGATACCATCTGTTTGAAATTGATGTGTGTGTGTGTATAGGCTATATGAAGAACTGCAAGCTACGTGTTTGGATGTAAAATAATTGCCATCATGGTTTGTCAAGCTGCTGCCTACCTTTGTGAAGCAGGAAAAGATTAAATACAAAGTGAATACAGTATAGCTTTTTATTGCCTACCTAGAATGGGTGACAATAGTTGATTAAACTTTTGGCTCTCAAAATAGTATTGGTGCCCTATTTGCTGGTACTTGCTGATACCGATACCACCATTTTAGTGCTAGATTGGGCCCCTGCCCGATACCGGTAATGGTGCAGTGGTCTTAAAGTAATAACCTAAAGCTTTGCCTTGTAGATGTAATTTGTTGAGTAGGTCAAAGGTTACTTTACAGTATTCAAAATAAGTTTTGAGTTATGTTTTCTGTGGGTGTTCACTCAATCTGCGCAATTGCAAATGTATTTGCAATATAACCGCAATAGAAATAAATACATTTTGTAATTGCAGAGGTGCTTTGGTCAACAGCCCCACAGAGGGGGGAAAAAAATTGCAGTGAGCTCTCAGATCAGTTCCCCATGGTAGAAGTAAGCCCTGTTCCATGCAATAGTAAAAGTGCACAATAATGGACTCTAAAAAGAGAGCAGTGGGTCCATAGAACCATAAAAGAATTTAGCCTTAATATGTAGATGCTTGTAAATAGAGAAGAGAAAAATCTAACAAAGATCTCAATTGCAGTTTTGGTTAAAAATAATTTATTTTGCTTCTGGGGGGTGCCATACAGCCCCTAGTGTTTACACAGTATCACTGTCAGAGTGGTTACATGGTTGGCTTTTTCTAGACACAGGAATGATCTATTTTCTCTGAAGATGACACTGATAGATCCTTTGAAACTCTCTCCTTTTATTTTTATTGTGAAAAGACAATTATATTTAAAAAATGTACATATAAAGGGCTTAATAATGGCTCATTATTACCTTATAAGGGCAAACATAATGTAATAGATGTTTAAGGCAAAAAAAATAAAGGGACATTTATTTCTTTAAATAAAAGATTCAGATGTTAAGGGATAAACCAATTAAAAAATAAAGAGAGAGAATAATTATAGATAATATTAAAATAATCTCAGGCATTATATCAGGTAATAAGAGGCCGTGATCTATTGTGTCAGTGTTCACCTTTAATGAGTCCTATCTGTGGTCTGTGCCCTTTTTTTCTCCGTTTAGCGGTGTCGAACCTGGATATAGAGAGTAAGCTGTCAGTGCACTATCAGGCCCCATGGCACCAGCAACACAATGTGTTTCACCCCCTTACCAGACCGCCGTGTTTGGAGGAGCTTCACAGAAATGCTCAGCTGAGTCTGAGAGCTCTGCATCAAGGTAAGAACACGACTGGTGCAAAGCAACGATATAGCTGGTGCTTTTTATCTACAGATGGTCGGTTTTCCTGTATGTCTTTGGATCCACAGAAGAACAACAACATCAGCTTTCCTCAAGCCGGGAGAGAAACAGGGTGACCATCTCCATCTCCGTGGCCCCACCCATGCCTACGTTTCCCTCACCGCACAGCATCCGCCGGCAACAGAGAAGTCGGCTTGCACAAGCGGTCAGAATTTTACATTGAACAAATAGAACCTAGTAGAGGCCTTTGGTATTTATTACATTCATAGGCAAGGATTTTACAGACATCCCAACCTGGAAGTTTTTATCTCAGTATAAGTTGTTTCTTTTGATGTAAAGCAGATTTACATCGGATGTTATTTGAGAGGCTTTCCTTGACAAGCAGGTCCCATTGTAGTTATATATGAATTTGGTCTCAGTTTTATGTTAAAGGCATAATGGAGGATTTTCACAAATTTTTTGGAAAGACCTGCCTTCACCATTTTAAAAAGATTAAACGCCTATTAAATGTATGCGAGAGCATGCACAAGCCCATTTCTCTTCATGCAGGCTCTGTTCAAAAGTTGCTGTTTGCTCATGCAAACTTATTTTCCCTAAAGAAGATATGCAATTTTTTCACTATGTCAGACTCACCACCATAAGTGAAAATGGAGACAAGCACATAAGACGGCCTTCCATAAACATATCACCAGAATGATTGACAATTAGAAGGACCACTTATTAAATGATCCACCCGGAAAAAGAACATCCTCCACTATACCCTTAATCAATAATTTTCATAAACACAATCTAATCCAGAGTCTTAACCAACCACCTCCAGTAAATTTAATAAAACTTAAAATACAATTGGTACAATTAAGATGATTTTTCAAAATCAGTTAATAAAAAAAACAATCTAATAATATCCTGCCCTTAGTGTTGTGTTAACCAATTTCTCTGTATAAGCGAGGATGTGATAACAGCTGCGAGTACAAACTCCCTTTTGACAAACAGAAACAGACCAGTTTAAAGGACTAAGAGACATGAAGGCTAAATGCAAAAGCAGCGAGCTATATGTATTTTCCATAATATAAAAATAGTATATAGAATATAAAGAGCAGTAGTTTTATATATGGACAACCAGCTAAACCCGGAATCATTGGGTTGGAGTACTTTTATAGGAAAGGAAAACTAAGAAAATACAGAAAGCAGTTAGCAGCTGCTTTATATCTTTCACAGAACACAGAAATAACTGGCCTCTGGATACCTTCAACACAAAAGGGAAAAAAAAACCTAGAGAAAAAAACAATGTTAGTCAGTGCAAATTTTAATTTTAAATGTTGAGTCATTGAGTCATCATATGTTTTGGTCATTTATTTTTTTGGGGCAATATATGAGTCAAGAAAATATACATTATTTAGCTTATATTTTAAAATACAAACAATTAAATACAAAGTCTTTCTCGTTGTAAATTTGTATCAAATTCAGATAAAAATAATTAGAATTTCATTTTCCAAACTGAAATAAATAAGAATAAGACAAGAGCACTAAATTTGAAAGGGTCTTGGTACTGCTTTAGTCCAGAGTAACATGGCAAAACAAGGTCTATATATCACTAGTGGAGGTGCTAGAGGATTTTTAGCATTACACCTTCTGACAACTATTGCTGTGCATTTTGATTCCCAAAAACTATGATGTCCTTGATCATATTCACTGCTTTAATGACATAATATAATACCTGTTTTAATCAAATTGACCCTTGTTTCTAATGTTGCTTTACAGCAAGAGAGAGCAGAGAGGGAACGAGAACTGGAGTATCAACCACGAAAGGTTTGTGTTTTTACATAAAGTATGTACCAGCTTTTTCTTTTTTTAATACAAAATATGTTATTTTCCCTTCCAATCCAGTGAGCATTTTTGGTAAAGAAGCAAAATTTGACCACTAGGTGCACTCCAACTCCAACAATTAGCCCACATGCCACAATCGTAGCTTTACACTGAAACAAATCAACATAGCAACACAAATCTAACAGGACTGTTTCACCAATAGAAACAAACATTGGGCTTCATGCTGTCTCATTGGTGTTACTGATTGGTGATTCATAATGAACAGCTGAGGTTAAACCTTTTGTGGGTAACTTTTAGTGTGGTTGTACTAGAATTGGGTTTATTTAAATCAGTGAAGTTTAGGTATTCCATTTTTAACACTGATATCCATTCTGAATGTCCCATAGGAGAGGAGTGTGAAAGAAACAGAGATGCAAACTACAGAGAGAAAGGTAAGTGCAGTCATTGTTACAGTCATTATTTGCCTATTTTTCTAATGTTTGCAAAATAAGAGGCGATATTTATATTTTATTTCTTTTTGTTTAAGCTACAAGAGAAACCTGTTAGAAAGGAAGATATGAAAACAATCGAAAGGAAGGTAAAAAAAGATGCTTAATAAATCCACTTTAAAAGATTAGGAATGTATGTTATTCATTTTTCACTTCTTAATTTTCTTAAATAATTTGATTTGCTTACATTATTTTTAGCTTTTTTGTGACTCATGGTTTTGCTTTTATTCAATTTTATTTGTTGTTGTATTTTGTGTTCATAGTTTGAGTGCTTTTACTCACTTGACACTATTGAAGGTTGCATCTTCATTCCATGGAATAGAAAGGTATCCAGAATATTTGTTTTGTTTTCATCTTTTTTCTCATCTTCTCAAAATGTAAAAAGGTCCACATTTAAGTCTCTCAAATCTACAACACATGTAATGCTTTATATGTGTCTTCTAGGCTACATCGACAGAGAAAAGAGAAAGGGCTGAGGTCACTGGAGGCCAAACAGCCAAGGCCTTAACCCACAGTACTCCCTCAGCCCAAGATAAACAAACAAACTGTTCAAAGGAAAACATCCCGCCATCAGATCAGAAGGCAAATGGCGATTCTCAAGCTGTGTCCTCTTGCATTATCCCCATAAATGTTACAGGTAAACTTAACAGAGAAATTTGATTAAAACTGATCCAGACTTCTGTAAATCATTTAAGGAATCTATGTATAACTAGGCAAATGTTTAAAACTGATGCTTAAAAAGAGGAAATTGCAGGAAATAAAAAATATACAAAGACCTGAAAACACATAGGATCTTAACCATAGAACTAAACTCACCACTGAAAGTAAGTGGAGCTTGGTCAAGTATTTCTTAATTACAATACATCTTGACAATAAAACATATGCCTATTCATTTAATTTTAAATGTTGCACCATTTCTTAGGAATATGCATTTGTGGGTTGACAGTGGAGTTGAAAATCTAGGCTGTGCTCAAAAACTTGCAAAAACCTCCTCTGCCAGTCCCAAACATTTGATTCTGCCAAGAATTGTTTGTTTTTTTTTGCTTTGAATGGAGGGTTGAAGTTTAAATTAGCAAGACATGTTAGAAGTTTAACAATTTATTTATTAAACAGACAAAAGCTTGAAAAAATGTAAACACCAAAGGCAGCCTGTCAGCTCCCCCTCATTTTGGTCAGGCTTGGTCATACACTGCTGAGTAAGGAAATCCCACTCAGCATTTGCTGCAAGTCAGGCAGTGTAATTGCATCGGTCACTCTGGCATGAACCACACTCTTAAGCTTGCACTAGGGCTGGACAATATGTTACATGTTACTTTCAATCAAATATTAAAGTTTCGTACCCATTCAGGTTTAAACATTCAACAATGTCTCCTTGAACAGGAGAAAAATGTTACCTCTCTTGCAAACATTTTTTCACAAAAATAATGCAGCCTTTTACAAACCTTTGAGCTCAACAGAGTGTTTGTGCTGTATGTGGTGGAGGTTGGATGTGTTACTTTAGGTAAACCCGATAGTTTTCAGACAAACTTTGCATTTCCTGTACTTTTGCTCAATATCTATGGCGTCATTTTGGTGCAACCAAACTGAACGTGCATTGAGAACAATGTGCATCGTTTAAACTCGCACACCTTCACTCAAACCGGTCTACCCCGTTAACTCTGACAATGCGCTCTCAACTTCTCTGCACACCCAGCTTCATCTCTGCTCTCACTTGGCTCCACAGGATTAACTGATGTAATTTCATTTACAGCTGTGTTAGACACTTCTTCACTGGGCTAATACTCCTCTTTGTTTACGCTTCTGACTGAATTGGTGGAGTCATGTAATTACATTCATGCTGAGGTGTCTTAAAGGGAAAGGAAATACCAGCTATAAGCGCATACAGGCAAAACAGCAAAATTACATTTATTTATTTTACCGGCATGGGAAAATTGTTATCAGAGTGAATAACAGTAACAATATATATATTTAGTTTATCGCCCAGGCCTAGCTTGTAATACAAGTTTTCATTGGTGTTGTGGTCAAGACTAAAAGCAAGTCTTTCCATTCACCCCACTAACAATTCTGGAGATACAGTATCTAATAAAAGCAGTTGTGTTGGGGTGAGTAGTTATCTCATGAAGGTTAACGTATAGATGTAGATAGCCAGAGATTGCATAAATTATTTAAATCAATAAATATACTTTCTGTTCTAGTAAACCTTCTGGATACATAGTCATACATGAAAATGTATAGCTGGATTCAAATTTTCCTTTGTTGCAACTCATGTTACCCTCTTCAGAATTTTAAATGTCTACTGGCTTCTCTGTCGTCAAAGCAGGAGTCGGGTTTGACAGAGAGGCCAGTGCCCGTTGCTCACTAGTTCACTCCCAGTCGGTTCTTCAGAGAAGGAGGAAGCTGAGAAGGAGAAAGACTATCACAGGAATACCCAAACGGGTACAACATGACATGGGTATGTTAATGCAGATATATATATATATATATATATATATATATATATATATATATATATATATATATATATATATATATATATATATATATAGGTTGACATTAGGATCAATAAGACTCATTCTGAAAAAATGTCAATATTCTTGATTTTATTTAATTTCAGACTCAGATGAATCACCTGTGGCAAGAGAGCGCACAGTGATCATCCATGCCAATTCACATCAGCTTTCTCTTTGTCAAGAGGACCTCTCAATTAGTGGGCGTCTCCACCACACTCGTGACTCTGGCTGCCAGACAGATGATTTCCTTATAGCATGTATGTTTCAGATCATTTGGTGTTATAGAGAGTGAGGCTGCAGTTTATAAAACTAAATTAGAAACAGATGCCTTAGCTGAACAAATTAGTAGGAAATTGTTTGATTTGACCCTTAAAGGTTTATGGCCATTGCTTTGGTAGAATACCAAAAATGCATATTTACATTCACTTTCAACCTATATCTATAAACTTAGACAGTATTAAATTATCTCCCTGTTATTATCTCATTTCATTCTGCCTTTTAGGCACAGCTGCTCCCTCCCGAAGGCGCATTAGAGCTCAGCGTAACCATCAAGGTATCCCTGCCTCTTTGTCCCACTCCACGGGTAACATTTCATCCCTGGGAGACCAGTCTGACTTCCCATACATCCCGTCCTCCAGCCATGGTGGGCGGTTGCGTTCACGTAGCCTTCCAAGAGAGGGTGGACGTCTGATGGACAGTGATGAAGACGATGATGACAACTATGATGATGATGATGAAGATGAAGAATTGTCACCTTACGAAGGTGAGGACTTCATTCCATCAGGACCAAGCCCCAGAATGAAGATGATGATGATGAAGGATGAAGAAGAGAGCACGGATGATCAGGCAGCCCCTGAGCCACTGCAACTTGGAAGTCTAAAAAGACTACAGAGGTCTACTGAAAGAGACAGAGTGGGTGGAGGAGGTGGAAGTCCAGAGCCCAGTTGGATGGAGAGGGGTCGTTCTCGCTTGCCCCGCAAGGCTGACATGGGTAGCTGTGAAATCTCATCCAGTTCTGATACTTTTAGTAGTCCTATTCACTCAGTGTCTACCACAGGAGTTCTAGGCAGCCACGTGGATCACAAGGAAGACCACCAGTCATCAAGTGGTAACTGGAGTGGCTCCAGCTCCACGTGCCCCTCACAGACATCTGAAACCATCCCCCCACCTTCATCTCCACCCCTAACAGGCTCTTCTCACTGTGATTCAGAGCTATCACTTAACACAGCTGCCAATGCTATCGATGAGGGATTTTCCCTCGATCCTTCCTACCACTCTGACCTCAGGCCCCAGAGTCAAGGCCACAGATCAAGCTCTTTTACATCATCAGCCACAGACCAGCTTGATGATGCAGGGGTCAGCACAGCCAGTGAAGGGGAGTGGGCGTACCTCCCTGACCAAGACCAGACCGATGCAGACCAAGACCTGGAGCACACTCAAAAGCTGAGTGACAGCCACCGATTTCCTCAAGAATACAGCTCAAAAGAAGGCCTTAATGATCAAACATGTTTTAATAAACAGAAAAATAATACTGAAAAAGAGCCTGGCTCTCATTACCAATCTGATAGAGAGGGTTACTTCTCATCCTCTGTAAACTTTGGGGAATATAATCAAACTTACAAAGAACACACCTGTAACTATGCAGACCTAGGGCCTGACTCTCATCAGTCCAACACTTTGGAAACTCGATTATCCCGCGGCAGTTATCCTCAATCATCACTTGAGTTAAAAACAGGCACTATAACTTTAGGGAGAACGTTTCGTCCTTTAAAAAAATCAAAAGTCAAACCTCCGCCGCCAAAGCGAAACTCCTCACTAAAGGAAGCCAGTATTAGTGTTGATGTTGGAACAGACACACAAACAGATAAGGATCAACCAAAGATCGTTAATGAGCAAGAACTTACCTCGTCTTCCACAGATATGAAGTTGGAACTGGACCTGGAAATTGGAGTAGCTCCAGAACCATTACAGTCATCTTGTCTAGTTTCTGAGTCTTTGGGAACTTGGGGCATGGGACTGGAGGGAGCCATGGACGTAGTAGAGCCAATGTCCTTCAGCTCTGCAGATACACATTCATTTAAGGATGAGGGTGCTGTGCAATCTGACTATGCAGACCTGTGGCTTCACAACAGTGATCTAAAGTCTAACAATGGAGAGTACGCATCAATGTCGAACTCAAGCACAGCCACAGGCACCACCATTATGGATTGTATGAAGTCACCAGACAGCTCTTCCTCTTCCACAGAGACACCTCCCCAGGCTGTTGCCCAGACTCTTGAATCCAAGCAAAGCAGCCCATCTCTCCCCTCTGGGGACTATAAGCTTGGGTCACCTGAAAAATTGGCTAGCCTAGCTTCACCATCAAGCGGTTATTCCAGTCAGTCTGAAACCCCAACATCAACTTTACCCTCATCATCAGCAGCATTCTTCCCAGGACCACTGTCCCCTTCAGCTGGCAAGAGAAAGCCTAAAGTGCCAGAAAGGAAGTCATCTCTCTCTTCCTTACAACAATTTCCTAGAGATGGAGCTTCCATTTCATTTTGTAATAAGAGAGATCCAGACTTTCCACCTCCACCCTCACAACTTGATCTGAATGTTCTACATGGAGGCTATGTGAGACACACATTATCTCACCGAGCATACCACATGCACACCTTACACCATAGCAAACACAGAGTTGCAAATGTCTTATCTGGTGGACCAAAAACATCAGTCCCTGAAGTAACTAATACCAACCCACCAACAAGTTCAAGCTCTGCTTTATCAAACCCAAGCTCAAATGTTTTACCAGTAACTCCATCTACAATTCGTTCCGTGCAGCTTCATCCAGTAAGCCAATTTGCTGAGCCACAGAGTACTTCCATAACATACCAGGACACAGCAAATGGAGCTGAGACTGTAACAAGGCCAAAATGTCCTCCCAGTGGCTCTACTCTAGCTCCTCCACCTGTTAATACCAGGCCACTTCCTCCTCGAAGGCCACCTCCAAGACCCCCATGTCATGACCATATCTCCTCTCCTGAACGCCCACAGCCGCCTCCACCTGGTCGCCATCCTGATGGACCTCCATCCTATGAAAGTCTGCTTCTAAGGCAGGATCGTTATGGGCCAGGAACATTTTGGGCTATGACTGCCTTCAGAACAAGGATGGACCCTTCATCAGACCTCTCTGAAGACAGTTCACCCCTGCATAGGCCAGTTCCACGTGCTCCACACCCTTCCCCTGTTGATCTTCACACACATATTCACTCACACGCAGAATTCAGAGGGCTCACCCACTCAGCAAATGCTCGTTCAGAGTTTAGAGTTTTGGGGGAGCGCTCTTTCTCCCAGGATGATGATGAAGATGATGAAGAGGAGGAAGATGAGGAGGAAGAGCAGGTGAAAGAACTACACAGGGCTGCATGTTCCAAAGGAGGAATTCGATCAGACCACCCTCCTCCCCCAGCATATGAATTTGCTGGAGGATCCCATCTAAACTCAGGGCCATGGGCTAGTCCTGTTAAAGTGCCTGGTAACACAACCGAGACATCGCATCCTTACCCAATCAGCGATGCCAGAAAAGGACAAGAAATGCAGAAAGAGGAGAAGGAAATAAAATCAGGTGCTACCCGAAGTGCCCATCAGCACCAACTCCAGGAAAGCAAAGATGACTCCACCACTCCTGATACTGAGGATTACTTTAGCAAAGGTAAGCTATTAAACTCCATCAAACTGATTTGTTTGTGTACTGCTCATTGCAGAGGAAGTCTCAGCATAAAAGATGCACTAGGCTGGCCTCGAGTCTGTAATGGTTTGAAAAAAATGCTAAATATTATGGTGTAACCAGATCTATAACTATATCTTCTCATCCTTTGTAAAAAAAAAAATAGTGCTCTTATTAGACATGCTCTTATTAGACATATGATCTTCAATTTTTTTCTGTGATTTTTTTTTTTTTGTACTTTGTATTCGCAAACATTGTTCTTCTAGAGGAAAAGATTATTTTAATATGCAGCAGATCTCGAAAATCCCATTTAAACATCAACTGGAAATTCTTTTTTTTTAAAGATATGTAAAAAAAAATATATAAAAAATTTCGCATAATAAGTAAATTAGGATTAGGTATTCCAAGGGTTTAGAGGCATTTCATTTCATAAGTGTAATAATGTCTCAGAGAACTAGATTTAAACAATTACAGGAGTGTTGTTTTCCACAGATTCCACACCCAGTGACAACTCACTTTCTCCCCTGACGGAGGACACCAAAGTGGATGACGATATTATTATCACATCCCCTAACAAGAGTCGTACAACGGAAGACCTATTTGCCATGATACACAGGTATTGTAAATTGTGCAGTCAGTGTCTTGCTTACACGTCTCTTAACTGCATCTGCTGCAGTGTGAGTTTTGACTGTTTTTACTGTTTGCTTATTCGCTCTGTAAATATAACTTTGTATTATTTTATGATCCCTTCATCCAGATCCAAGAGGAAGGTTCTGGGCCGTAAAGATTCAGGAGACATAAACGTGAAGTCTCGTCTTTGCCCTGCTGCAGCTATAACTCCCAGTAATGTTTCCAGTGGTGTTATCCCTCCAGCACCACCTCTGAACTTTCCAGTTACTTTAGCCAATGCTGTTGGGTCACAAAGAGGCCCTGTCCCCATCTATCGCAGTGCTAAAAAATCAAGCACGTCAAATGAGGAGTTTAAACTTCTTTTGCTAAAGAAAGGTAGCAGGTCTGATTCTAGTTATCGCATGTCAGCAACAGAGATTCTGAAGAGTCCCATTACCCCCAAAACACCAGGGGAGTCCCTTCAGGAAGGTCCTTTTAGACAGCCAGAGGAGCAATCTTCTATGTCACAGGAGCCTCCAGTCTCTGGTCTGGACCCAATCCAGATACCAGGAATTTTTCCTCGGGCCATCTCAGAGAGTTTCACTCCTAAAACCCTTCCTATGTCGGCTGCATCTCGTCAGGGACGTTCCCGGATCCCCCCGGTTGCTAACAGCAGCCGCTACAGTACACGAAGTCGCCTCTACACAGCGCCCATGCAAGCCATTTCTGAAGGGGAGACAGAAAACTCAGATGGGAGCCCTCATGATGATAGATCATCATAAAATGACCTAATAAGAACTTTTGCCTGTTGTGTTTTCTGGATTTTAAATACCCCCACTACTCTTTTTCAGCAGTAGGGGGACTCCTGCAGCGTTTGAAACCTGACTGTTGCTGATATGCACACAGCTAAAAGCAAACTGTTTAAAAGTGGCAGACTGTTGCGAGAAAGAATCATAAATGAAATCCTGAGAATATATCTAAATACTTTATTTAGTAAAGAATAATCCAATTCTTTAAAAGTGTAAAAAATATTTTAATTGAAGACTGTTTTTTTAAGAAAACATAAAAAAAATGTCTGAAATGTTTGGGAAATTATATGAAATAATATTGTGAGAAAGTGTGTGTGCCTGTACAGGCACATGCAATCTTTACTAACATTTCTACTTTTTGTGCTTTTAATAGCACGGGTGCACATGTATCACTTGGGGACTAATTTATTACTTCATATAAAAAATTCTTTTCACATTTTATATTCTTTTAACCTATGGTGCCAACTGCATCAGCCAGACTTCTGTGAGTCTTTACTCAGCATTCCTGCCAACAAGTAAAGTGTATTTGATGTGGAAGTTGCTGGCAAGTCTCAAATGAGCACCACATTTTTTTATTTTATTGACATCTGCAGACCTGCCATAAAATATAATAACAAAGAGCCAATCTTATATTTGTTGACTAAAATGATATCCAAATACTAACACGATGCATGTATTTTTGTAAAACTTCGCCTAAAAACATGGTGGTAAGATTTCAACTTGTTGCATGACCTATGTGGAAAGAACCCCTGGATCCTAGTTTCTTTTTGCATTGTTGTACTTCTTTTGCAATGTAGGAGCAATGATTATGTCACTGCTAAACATTTTAGTTTCAATTCAGCCACATTAATCAAAACAGATTTTCCTTTGAGTGTTTAAAACAGAAGGAGCAAGGGCTTGCAACTACTTGTCTATCATACAGGCTAACTTTGGACAATCGCACAGTGGCCTTTCTCCTACAGAGGTGGTTGTGGCAGGGTGCTTAAAAGCCCCAGGAGGTATACATTTACATGAAGCTGTGTCAAGATTTAATAGGTTTAAACCACACATTTATTAAAAGCTGACCTTAACATTTCTTGCTCGTTCCAGCCGCTAACAAAAAGTTGTACTGCGGACAGCAGCAAAGGTGCATTTCATAGCCGATTTAAAAGTGAATGCAGATGGTGAAAATGCTTTAGAAGAACTTCAATCTGTTGGACTACAGGTTATCTTGGTGTGGTTTCACAGATCCAACCTCATTTTGCACTTCGTGATTCACGAGAGTAGAAGAAAAAAAAAGACATATGTTATAATTAAATCCATGTATATTTGTACTGAATAGAAAAGGTCTTATCTATATTGAAATAAAGATAAATTTTATGGGGAATGATCCACGTGTAGCAAAGAACAGGACTCACTGACATTACACATTAGTTTATTTATTTATTTATTTTAGCAGTGTACTGTTCGCCTCTCCTTGTTGCCTCTCCTTCATTTGCACTGACCCAGTAGCATTAGACCGGTGAACGCTCAACACAAGTGGCCGGAATTACAATTCAAACCTCACATTTCAAATAATGTCAGACAGAGAAAGAAGACGGTAAAGGACAGAAGTCAAATATAACAATGATGGTTCATAACTTATTATTGCAGCGAGGATAAAAGATATGTCCTTCAAATATATATCTTTCACTAATGGAAACCTTGATCTCTCACCTGCTTGCTAGAACAAACGCAACACATACTTCTTATGTTTAGATACCATGCTTCATTTGAAACCATTCACTGTATTCTGTGAATACCTCAGAAAGCATATCTATTTAGATAGATAGATAGATAGATAGATAGATAGATAGATAGATAGATAGATAGATAGATAGATAGATAGATAGATAGATAGATAGATAGATAGATAGATAGATAGATAGATAGATAGATAGATAGATAGATAGATAGATAGATAGATAGATAGATAGATAGATAGATAGATAGATAGATAACTGAAACTCAGCGAATCTCTAATGCAGAAATGACACTGTGTAAGATGGAGAGTCTAAAAAGCTGTGAACTGACAAGAATTTTACATTCATCAAATTTTGGAAGCGCACTTGTTCCTGTCCACTGTCGTATTTGTTGTGTTTTTTAATCGCATGCAATAAATAAATGGGGGGGGGGGGGGGGGGGAGAAAAGTACAGCACCTATTCATCATTTTTATCGGCAGGATTTCTCCAAGAGAAAAATATTTGAGTATTTTCTGTTTAAATGTCAAGTTGAATAGTGTGTTTTATAGATGTACAAACTGTCTGGCTAATTCTGTTCTGTATAGTTGTGCTCACACACAGGGGTTTATCATGTACTGTATATCTCCTCACTGGACAATCATGCATTTAAGAGTGTGTTAAAAATGATATAGGATCTATCTGGAGAGTGAATTTGGACAGCTTTGGTGCTAGGACCCTGTCACTCTGGAGCTGTGGAAGTGAAAGAAATGTTTTCCTGGGGAAACAGATAAAAGTGTTCATCTGGAGCAGTTTTGGATTACATGTGGAATAAATAAAAACATGGAAATGGAAAAAGGAAATGTCAAAAGCAAACACTATAAAAGCCTGGTTGACCTCACCTGAATTCATTGTCTATGTTTGACTGATAGCTGATTTGTTTTTCTACTCAACAAATATTAATATTGAACATTATGAATTCAAAATACTGTAACATATTTTAACATTTTTTAGAAAGATTTTCCATACTGTACCTCATACTGGTACTATGGGAATATTTTATGAATATTTTTTTTTTTCTCTGAAAAGCAGTGAATGGAAGATTTATTGAAAAAAATTGGTTAGCAAAATAGATGTTGATGCATCCTTGCAGGTTCTTACCCTGTAATATCGGAATCACAAGCATTTGGAAAAAATCTAAAACTTAATATATAGTTTATTCGCAACTTTGGTCTGCTTGCAGATGTGCTCTTCCCTAAAGTATAAAAATATGATTCACACAATATTTTTCTTTTACTGTGTACAGTATCGAATATCACAAAAAATATCTGAACATAAAAATATAGGCAATGATTAAAAAGAAAACTGTTTCAATGTAGTTCCATGTTTCAACCTAGCTAGGACTTAACAGATTTCAATCTCTTTTGTATTTTTGTATAAATCTGTAAATATGTTTTTGAAGGAAAAAAAATCATTGGAGATTCTTTCTTTTGTAAAATAAATCAATAAAAGATTAAAAACCCTTTTTTTCTTCTTCATTTTATATTATTTTAAGGACCCTGCTTTTACCTTCCACATATTTTTAAAACTGAAAACATTCAGTTTTATTTGACATTTTAAAGGCTTACTACAGTGATTAACGTGCATTAAAATATAATGTCATGCAACAAATATCCGTGCTTTAAAACAGAAAGTATCATGTTTCAATTTGCTCCCCAAGAAAAAATAAAAAGTAGAAGTCGAGTATATACAATAGGTGGCAGTGTTTTAAGCGTTTTTTTCATGGCCGTTGCAGTTCCAGCTATAGATTAAATTTTTACTGGCCGCCAGTGCATGAACGACATGTCTCTTTGCTTTCCAACACTCAGCCCATGAGAATAAAAACATACAAAATATAGAGTGAATTTCAGGGTATAGCACACTCTAGGTAGGCCTACCATGTTCGTGTTTGTAAACAGAGCTATTTTTAAGAAATAAATAAAAATATTCTAAGAATTCTTAAAATGTTACTAAATCCTCACATGCATTGCTTCAGGCGATTATGTTTAGCAGTATATATACGGGGCCTCATTCAAATTTTTTTTGTGTTTGTGGTGTTATCTCGCCATTCTCCCACTGTTTGTATACGAACCTAGCTAGAGGAAGTGGAAGCTTTCACAAAACACATCAACTCTGTTGACCATAACATCAAATTCACGAGAGAGGATGTCAAGGACAACAAACTACCCTTTCTGGACTGTCTGGTGAGCATGGAAGGAGATGGAAGCCTAAACATTGAAGTGTATAGGAAACCTACTCACACAGACCAGTATCTTCTTTTTGACTCACACCACCCACTGGAACACAAACTCTCAGTCATCAGAACCTTACAACACCGGGCAGAACATGTCCCTACTAAAACAGATGGGAAGCACAAAGAGCAGAAACACATCAAATATGCTCTCCAAAACTGTGGATATCCAAACTGGGCTTTTGTCAAATCAGCAAGGAAATCCAAAAGACACGCAACAGAAGACAGCGATTAGAAAATGAAACGCAAAAACATCACAATCCCCTATGTTACTGGAGTGTCTGAAAAGCTCAAGAGGATTTTCTCCAAACACATGATCGCAGTACATTTCAAGCCAAACCAAACCCCTAAACAGAGGCTAGTGCATCCTAAAGATAAAACCCCCAGACCGAATATGAGCGGAGTGGTATATGCTGATCAGTGCAGCGAGGAATGCTCTGATCTTTATATTAGAGAAACCAAACAACCTCTCCACAGATGCATGGCCCAACACAGAAGAGCGGCCTCCTCTGGACAAGACTCCGCAGTACACCTACATATTGTGGACAAAGGACATTCTTTTGAGGACTAGAATGTCCATATTCTGGATAAAGAAAATATGTGGTTTGAGAGGGGCGTGAAGGAAGCCATCTATGTTAAGAGAGAAAAACCTACTTTAAACAGAGGTGGTGGACTCATCCAAAAACATACAATCTGGCTTGGGCTCAAGCCAGATTTGCCTCAGATGAAAGCTTAAGCTGTCACTATTCAGATTTCGTTTCTGAATTTTCCCAGGTATTCAACCAAGATACTGACCAAACCCCTGATTCTCGAGCCCTGCTTCATTTAAAACAGGGAAATTCTTCTGTGGCCGAATTTTCTATAAATTTCCGGGTTAAAGCAGCTGCTTCCGGATGGAACCAGGGTGCTTTAAAGAGTGCTTATTTCGAAGCATTAAACGAAAATATTAAGGATGAGTTGGCTACCCGCGATGAACCGGCTACACTCGAAGAACTAATCCAATTAACTATAAAACTGGACAACCGGATTCGGGCCAGAAACAGCCGCAAACATAAGAGTTTGGCGTTATTTTCCTCTGCCCCCGCCTCTAATAACGTGACTGTTGTTTCTGCCCCCACAGAACAGTTATCCAGACCAAAGCCTAAGAGCCAGCCT